GTATTTTCCAACTTCAAAAATTCCCGTTAGCCATCCGCAATCACCCTGAGGCCCCTGGGACCTCAACCAAATGCACCGACATATCTTAAAACATCATCCAAACTTTCTCCAATCATCAAAACACCTCAACTAACACTAAAATCATCGAATTACATCGAATTCAAGCCTAAGTTCTTTTAAAACTTCTAAAACACGCATTCGATCGAAAACCCAACCAAACCACGTCCGAATAACCTGAAAATTTGCACACCCATCCCAAATCACTTAACGGAGCTATAGAAACTCTCAGAATTCCATTCCGACTCTCAGATCAAAATCTTACCTATCAACCGGAAATCGCCAAAATACTAACTTCGCCAATTCAAGCCTAATTCTACTCCGAACCTCCAAAATTACTTCCGATCACACTCCTAAGTCACAAATCATCCCCCGAAGCTAACTGAATCATCGGAATTTAAATCCGAGCCCTCTAACACATAAGTCAACGTCCGGTTGACTTTTCCAACACAAACCTTCCTTAAAGAGACTAAGTGTCTCATTTCTTATCAAAACCACTCCAATTCAACTCGTCCACATAAGCATAACAAAATAGGTAGTGGGAAAAACAGGGCGGTAACTCACGAGACGACGGGTCGGGGCGTCACAATAACTGAAAAAAGAATAATGGCATTTCATTTGGAATAGCGTTTTGTCTAAAATTGAATATGTATATTAAATATTAGATAAAACATCATAAACGAATTATATATTTTGCGATAAAAATTTATACCTAGAGACTCTTTTTTACTTGTCTTCTTGACAAGTAGAGCCAACGTTTTGCCTTAAAATATTTCCAATTTTAGTACGAGTAATTATTCTTATGTTATATACTTCAATTAGGAAAAGAATTGTAAGGTAAATTATAAATGATTTTAAATTCCTAAAAATTAGGACCCATAAATATTTCAACAAAGAAAATATTTGATAAGTTTTAATTGATTTTAAAGTCCTAAATATTATGAAAATTATTTAAATTACAATTCTGTCCAATGTGAAATTTTTTTAAAGGGTAAAAAAGGCGAATAACATTTCGTTAAGGGCATTCGTACTTTTAATATAGTACTAGTATTTATGAACGTGCGATGCACGTTAATAATGACACGTGATGGTTTAACCATTTAAATCATTTGAAAGCCGAAAAATATTATTACATTAGTATAATACGTGAATTCAAAATAAAAGGACATCATCAGAACTTACACAAATGATCAATTTAGTCATGTTAGTTAGATAATTACATATTATAGTTTAAAAATATTTACTTTGATGATATCTTACCAAACACTTCTTTATAGATGATATTTTTCGTGTATATTTCCTTCTAATGCTTTGGTTGCTCTACCATAATCAAAACTCTTGTTGTCGATATTGATATTCCTCTTGAAAGTGCAACATATAGTTGTTCGTGCCTGAAAATATACTGCGATAAATATAGTTAAATATTTAGGATGTTTGTCCTTGTTCTTTATTTATTATAATTGCAAAACATAAACATACCGAAAATTATTTTCACACAAATTGAAAAGAATATTCTTTAGTTTCGGAAGATGAAAGTTGAATTTGGGGATAAAAATATACTTAGAAGCACATTGACCAGTGTCATAATTTTTGCATGTATGACGTTATTGTCAAAAATTCTATATACCATTTATGTGCTATTACATAAGCTATTCAGCGGATCTAAGTTTTTCAGTAGCATGACGGGCATAGTTTTTTTCAAAATCAATCTATATGCAATGGAAGATCAATTTTAACTTAGTCTATTACTTATATGGTGACACTAACATAGATAAGAAAAAATAAACTTGACAACAAACCTGTGTGGTATAAGGCCATTTGGTAGTAGAGTATTTTAGTATTCTTTTGGATAGTAATTGTTGGTGTCATATTCTGCTGAATCAAAAACAAAAAAAAAATCTTATTTTTATCATAAAATTTCGCAATTAACCTTTTATTTAGTTGATCAACATATTCATTTCTGCTAGCTAAGATGGCTTTTAAATTTCTATCATGCAATTTGCACAAATTGCGTTTTAATTTATTGATAGAAATATTTTTCTTATTAAATACACTACTATTACAATTGGGATTGATAACCAAATATTCTGGAAGAACCAAATCTCTTTTATTAGATGCTCTTCTTCGTTTCTTACACGAAGCAAGAAGTTACTGAATAATGGATATGTTATTACTTTATATTTCTTATTAGTTGAATCTTTTTCATTTGAGGTCATAAGTATAATTTTGGCAAGCTAGTTTTTACAGTCTCTGCTTTCATCGATTTTGTAACTATTGATAGTACTTGACAGAAATCACCTTCCAAACCATTAATTTTTCACCAAACGGTTCGTTTATATTAAATATATCTCCAGAACTTCGGGCAATTGTGTCGATCATTTGACACTTAGCTGTAAGCGCTTTATCCTATATTATCAATTTTTCTTATAATTTTAGCCACATTGCTCTACTTTGATATATTTGTGATGATTATTTCGGTTGTTTGAAGGTGTATATCAAATCCAAGTGGCCTAATAATAATATCATTGTTGGTACGCCATTTGTTATTATTGCAAACAGTATCATACCTCTTGATTTGACATTTGCAAATAATGCATGACATAGAAATATTATTTCGATTTAACCGGAGGCGTCTACAAAGAATAATCCCGCTATATGAGTCAACTCTTTATAATATAATGTTGAAAGCTTGTTATTATTCAAGATTTAGCTTTGATTGTGCTTCAACAAACACTTGTATGATAGTTTGATTCTTAATATTATAATAACATTTTTACTTGGTGTTCTAATTTTTTTAATCTCTAACGCTCTTTTTATGCAATAAATTTATGTAACCTAAGATTTTTCTTAACTTGAAAAATAATTTTTCTCATATGGTGAATTAAAAAAATAATTGAATTGAGTTCTCTTGCCAAATAATTAATTGAAAGATTTAATTATTTGGTCTTAACACAAAAAATAATTTATTTTATGTTGATTCAAATTCTTAATAGTAGTCCATATCTTGTTTTGAAGATTTAATCTTAATTATAATTTTATCCACCATAAATTTTCTTTTCAAAGAGTAAAAAGATCGATCTGACTTTCCACTTTTATATCTTTATGTTTACAGAATCATTAGTAGTATTTGACTCTTACCAACTATTTTTCTTTCTCTTTCTCACACATTTATATTTTTAAATGTTGTTTAATAATTGGGTATATTTTCAATATTACACGAAAAATTAATTAAAAAATATTATCTTATTAGGAAAATAATTCAAACATAATATAAAAATATATTATGGGGATATTTTTTCTCAGTTTTAATGCTTTATGCAATCCATTTAATATTACTTTTTTTCGTATTGGATATTATTGAGTGGTAATGTACTGCCAATATGGAGGATTCTTATGAAATTGATTTTATTAAACCTTCCTACATATTTTTAATAAGAATTTAATAGACATAATTTATTAATTTTAAAAAATTAAATATTAAAAAATTAACATAAAAGGTCTTGTAGTAAAAAAACAGGTTATTTTAGTTATGTTCTTTCCTATGAGTTCTTCTATTTAATATTTTAGTACTATTTAGTCTATCAATATTGTATTTATGCTTTTATAACAAATAGGCTCTCTTTTTTTAAAAATAAATTTGGACAATATAATACATTCTCAAATTAAATTAGTAATAGCACATTATAATAAGTTTTCAAATTAAAGTAGTAATAGAAATTTTAAGAAGAATATCCTAAAGTAATAGGATTGCATGACTAAAAATATGTATCCGAAAGTAATTATACTAATAGGAAACCTAGCGTGTTCCTAAAAGTATTAGGTTTACATGCTAGCATGTAGTAATAAGATTCCTAAAGCTAATCATGTAGGATTCCTAACTTTAATATTATGTCCTAAAATTAATAGGATTACAAATGTCTAGAATTCCGGTTATGTCCTTTTATTGTGAGTTATTATGCTTAATATTATAAGGTTAATTTTGTAAACCGACATTTTATTCATACTTTTATAATAATATAGATATATAAAAGAAAAAAACATCATAATTCATTTAGAAATGTTTGCATATTGTACCTCCTACGCGTAATTAATCAAGAAACTTTTTGATATTGTAATCTAAAACATTAATTCTTGAAAATTTTAGTTTTGCATGCAATTAAACTTCGAATAAATTTTAATAAATACGTTTTAGTCTTACCAAACAACTTGTATATGTAGATAATTCCATCATTAAGGGTTTCTATACAAGTAATAAATCAAGAACAACTCTTGCTACAATAATTAATCATTAAAACGTGTATTCTTTGAAATATTATTTGGAGGTCATTACTCGTGAAAGCTTAACAGTTAAGAAACTTGGATTCCTTCATCACTGAACACACACACACACACAAAACATTATTTTCATATAGAATAATGCACAAATGATGAAAAAGTTTCAAGAAATAGAGAACTAATAACTTGAAGAGCAATAGCAAGCGAAGATATGGAATTAGATTATAGAAGTTAAGCTCGTGAGAAACAAAACAAGTCGGCCCATATTGGACATCTCATAAATTAACTAATTGCAACGATATGAGGAAGAAAACAGTTTTTTTATTTTCAACTATCGACACTAAAATAAATAAATTCACTCAAAATAATTTCAAAATCAAATATTAAAACAAAATCTAAACATTAAAAAAATAAAAAATAAATAAAAGTTAATTGTTTTTCGTACAAACAAAACAAAACGAAGTGTATGAAGTTTTTGACATAATTTTCAAAATTCAAAAATATACTTTTCTACATTTTTGCTAAAAAGGAAAAAAGAAAAGGGAATGTTAAAAAGAAAAGGAAGAATCGAAATCAAGAATAAAGATATTATCGCCCCCTAAATTTGAAAATTAGGCTCGTAGGCTTCCCAAACCAGTTTTATTAGCTTCGGAAAGCCGTTGGAAATCTGAACCTAAGAGCTCTTTCTCTTTTTCCTTTTCTTTTTCTCTTTAGTTCTCATTTTTGCTTTCTTATCTTCTTCAGATTCCTTCCTTCATCACAGGCAATCAAAATACCCTTTTCTTTCTGAAGAAAAGAACACAAAAAATCAGGGTTTTATTGAGAATTGAATCTTCTTTAATCCCAGCACTTTTAAAACTTCTTTACTTTAAAACAACTATAGTAACAACTTGCTAATATTATAGGTTTCAGCTTTGTGTTGAACTTGAGTATATGAGAGTTTGTTTCATAGAAACATTTTCTGGGGTTTGAGTTTTGAAGTCATTTATTCACTACCCAATTTGGGTCTTCTTGAATATAGTAAGAATGAAAGGGGATAGAATGGCAAAAAGATCCTCTTTTGGAAGCATAGTGAGAAAGAGGCTATCAGATATAACAAATTCTCTTCCACAAGCACAACATAAATCGCCTATTGATGTCGATAAGTTTTCGCCTGATGTTTCTTCAATGACGGACTACATTAATCATCTCGCCAAAGTATGTTTTCTTGTCTTAATTGGTCATTTCTGATTAGTTTTTTTGGTCGTCTCGGTCTATCAGAAACACCCTCTCTGCTTTCAAAGGTAGGGGTATGGTCTGCGTACACACTATACTCCCCAGACCCCACTTCATGGGATTAACCTGGGCCTATTGTTGTTGTCCTCGTCGACCTTGCTGTTGTTGTTGCTCTGATTAATTTTTTGGTAATTTGTTTGTAATTTTCTGCTTTCTCTTTTGTTATTTGAATGTTTAAACAGGAAAATGTGGCGTTGGTGAAACTTGTTCAAGACAAAAAGTATGTATATTATTGAATTAGAGTACGCTAGTCTTTTTTTAACATTGTTGTTATGCAATTGTTTGATTTTTTTTAAATATATGGTTTAATTGTGTAAACAGCAAGATTATAGAGTTGAGTGGGATTGAGATACAGAAAATGAGGATTCATCTTCAGAAAATGCAGCTACAGAACTGGAATCTTGCTCAATCAAATAGTCATATGTTAGCGGAACTCAATTTGAACAGGGAAAAGGTAAACCTTTTTTTTTTTAATACTAAAATTGAACTTGTAGAGGCAATTACAACTTGTTGTTAAAGAGGTGTTAGTCATTTATTTTATCACAGATGAAATCACTACAACATGAGCTTGTTTGCAAAGAAGCATTACTTAAATCGAGGAATTTAGAAGAGGTATGGTTTTGTGCTATCTTTCTTTGGTTACTATCTTTACTGAAAGACCGAGGGTCTGTTGGAAGCAACGTCTCTATCTTCACAAGGTAGGAGTAAGGTCTACGTACACGCTACCCTTCCTAGACCCCACTATGGGGATTGCACTAGGATGGTGTTGTTGTTGGTGTTGGTGTAGTGTCTTTACTGACAGAAACTCTGGAATATATAGAATTTTGGGCTGCAATCCTTCTCTGAAAGAGTTCAGAGATTGCTTTTACATGTCTGAATGTGAAGGAAAGATTGAAAAGTTAATGAAACGTGTTTAGTTCATCAGCTTATCTTATCCGCGACACAATTAATACCTTCGATTAACTGAAGGATTGTATATAGATGTTCGTAACACGCAGCGGAAGACAATAACAATCCTAGGCAGATCTTTTCGTGTTTAAAATTTATTTACATGTCAAAGATTGGATCTGAGACGTACCTGGTGCAGAGAGTCTCGTTTCAAAATTTCTTCGATAATGCGAAGATTCTATGCGTATTCACACCGAGACCGATCCTTGCTATCAACTCTGTTGGAAGCAACGTCTCTATCTCCACAAGGTAGGAGTAAGGTCTACGTACACGCTACCATTCCTAGACCCCACTATGGGGATTGCACTAGGATGGTGTTGTTGTTGGTGTTGGTGTAGTGTCTTTACTGAAAGAAACTCTGAAATGTATAGAATTTTGGGCTGCAATCCTTCTCTGAAAGAGTTCAGAGATTGCTTTTACATGTCTGAATGTGAAGGAAAGATTGAAAAGTTATTGAACAATAACTAACGTGTTTAGTTCATCAGCTTATCTTATCCGCGACACAATTAATTACCTTCGATTAACTGAAGGATTGTATATAGATGTTCGTAACACGCAGCGGAAGACAATAACAATCCTAGGCAGATCTTTTCGTGTTTAAAATTTATTTACATGTCAAAGATCGGATCTGAGACGTACCTGGTGCAGAGAGTCTCGTTTCAAAATTTCTTCGATAATGCGAAGACTCTATGCTACCCACACCGAGACCGATCCTTGCTATCAACTCTGTTGGAAGCAACGTCTCTATCTCCACAAGGTAGGAGTAAGGTCTACGTACACGCTATCCTTCCTAGACCCCACTATGGGGATTGCACTAGGATGGTGTTGTTGTTGGTGTTGGTGTAGTGTCTTTACTGAAAGAAACTCTGAAATGTATAGAATTTTGGGCTGCAATCCTTCTCTGAAAGAGTTCAGAGATTGCTTTTACATGTCTGTATGTGAAGGAAAGATTGAAAAGTTTATTGAACAATAACTAACATGTTTAGTTCATCAGCTTATCTTATCCGCGACACAATTAATACCTTCGATTAACTGAAGGATTGTATATAGATGTTCGTAACACGCAGCGGAAGACAATAACAATCCTAGGCAGATCTTTTCGTGTTTAAAATTTATTTACATGTCAAAGATCGGATCTGAGACGTACCTGGTGCAGAGAGTCTCGTTTCAAAATTTCTTCGATAATGCGAAGACTCTATGCGTATCCACACCGAAACCGATCCTTGCTAGATCAATGAAACCCGCGAACAAATTGAATGAAGAATTACTATGCTGAAATTTTCTCAAAACCTTCAGCTAATAACAAGAAAATATCTCCATTCGTTTGCGGCTCTTTTTAAGAGAATTGTCTTATAACCCCGTTATTTGTTTGTTATCTGTATATATATAATAAACACCAATTCTTTCCCTATTTGGTTATGGAAAACCAAAGGCGGTGATTTATGAGACCAATTCTCAAGTGAACCTTTCCATAAATTGTTTATTTAAAAACATAAATCCTATTCTCAATAGGATGAGGCGGCAGACATGTCCTTTAAGGACTTTCGTGGTGATCCAATTTTGGATCTTTACAAACGAATCTTTGTTAATATTTACATATATCTTTATATAAATAAATGTATTAATTATAAGCACCAAATATATATATCACATATACATATTTCAAACCAAGAGATCTAATTCAATTCTAAACAGAAAACTTCAATTTATTCACAATATTTCATTTGGACTAAATAACTAAATTTAATTGATATTAAATTCTTTAATTTAATTATCAAATAATAAAGTAATTAATCATTTAGCAAAGACTAGAACACTAACGTGTGCGACCCCATATGTTCAATACTAAACCGGTAAATTGATCACATCAATATACTAATCAAGGGTGGCTTCTAGCAACACTCCTTAACGACCGGATAGCATGAAGTATACAATTTACTCTCAAAAACCAGTAGAAGAATAATGTAATAATTCCTTCTGTCCTTATAGCTCTGGATCACCCTAGGATATGGTTCGACTATCAAATCTTAATAGGCGACCAACTATATGTTCATTCATGTCAAATATAAATAGACCATTGAATGACCTAAGAAACTCATTTGAACTATATGTTCATGTCTTAATTTGGTCGTTTATAATTCATTACAACATAGAGCTTAAACTCATTACCAAGAGTTGACAGATTCCATCTTGATCAATCACTAATTCTACAAGTATTTAATCGTACCAAAGCATAATAAATAACTTGTCACGATCTCAGGTCAAATGAAACTTTTACATCACATTCTTCAAGAGAATATCCTATTGACAGTTTATGGTAATTCTAACCATTAGGAATTATCCAATGAGTCGGTTCAATGATCATATCTCATCTTCTATCTATGTAATTTAGTTAATGAGATCAACTAATCTTTATCCCATAAAGACGATCACATAAATATTGATCTAACTGGATTACTAATGTCCAAATTAATAATCCTACGATCAAGAACAAATTTAGATTACATTATAAGAAACTTTACTCTCATTATCATGATCTCCATCACAATGTCAAGTCTCAAAATTTAATCAAGGACCTTATCAAATTAATCAAGTAATTAATAACAATGATAAAAGAATATCAAATGCCATATATATTTTATATCAAATAACGTTCACAAAAATATGTTCAACTCATCAAATATGATATTGTATCTAGGGCATCTACTATATCCCTATCATTAACTCCTCAATGAGTTGATAAGCTCTGGCAATAATATCTAGTAGGAATAATAATATTAACCTAAAGATTCACTTACAAATTGTTTTGAATTCTGCCTGGTTAGATCAATTTAATACTAGTAAAAATTCGTTTGGCTCACCTATGGCCATTGTTGTATGAAAGCTTCAAGTGTAAATTAGAAGCCTTTGTCACAGTCTTAAATGTAAATAGGATGAGGCTAGTGCTGCTTTTGATATCGATGTTTAGAGGCATAAACTTGTATCAACTTCTTGTAATTGCAGGAACAAGAACAAAGGAACCAGTTAAAGAATAGCTTGCAGGTGTAGTACTGAAAACTTTGAAATTGTTCTTGGTTGCAATAATTTGCATTCTTCTAACTCTCGGACTAGATTTTCGCATTTTTGGCTCTAGGATGAAGAAGAGTTCATGGCTGTAGACTCTCAATTGAACAAACATAGCAAGCCTAAAAATGGTAACAGACGCCAACGTGCAACAAGAAGTCAATGTAATTGCCAAACTTCTACTAATTGCGCATTTGATTTCTAATTCATTTTTGTATTCCCTAACCTTTAAGTAATCTTTCAGCTATGGGACATACAACAAGCTCTCAACAAGGTGCAGAGAAAGAAGCAGCAGAAAACAAAAGGTTCAGTTTTCTTTACAGCATAAAGCTAGCATTATACATGAATTTTTCTTGGTATTATAGGTACTGGTTTGTTCCACATTAGCTTATACACGAACGTTAAATAGTTTTGTTGTTCGTTTTCAGGCGATGTTTGAGAAGAAAATCGACTAATAATTCTAAAATCCAACAATCAGAACCAGCAGCAGAGGATTTGTTCGAATTAGAAGGCCTAGCTGTACCCTTTAACAGTCCAGTTCACGAAGACGATCTACCATTGCCTTACTCTAGCATTGAAGAAGTGATGAAAGATGAGAAGGATTCCTCAGAAAATGTAGCTCAACTTTCGCGGAGGGCTTCTGTTGGAAGACCATCGCGTAAGGCAGCTGAGAAAGTTCAGTCCTACAAAGAGATTCCAGTTAACATTAAAATGAGAAGATGAGCTTTTTATAGAGCTTTTGAATATCATAACTCCACATATGTAAGCTGTGTTTTATTCTATGTTAATCTGTTTTATGACACTATTGTAAAATCTTGTAACTTGGGAAAATTAGTTAAATCTTGTAACTTGGGAAAATATGGTTAGTTGTTTTAAGAAAAGGAGCACTTTCCTTCCTTCTTTCTATCTCTCCTAACAACTTCAAAGCAAGAATCAAGTTAGCTAGTCACTTGCTATATTTTAGGCCCATGATGATTGTTTAACCCAAAAATAGCCAGATTTGCAAGTGGTCATTCAAAAATAGTCAGATTTACAAGTGGTCATTCAAAAATAGTCACAGTTTCAAAAATAATCGAAATTTAGCCACTTGTAAAATATTGTTGGAACTTTCCATATTGCAGCAAAATAGTTCAGAATAAGTAGTGGCTAATTTCTAGTTTAGAATTTCAGGACAAAATAAGTACTGGCTAATTTCGAAATATATCTGAGAATGGTTATATGTGCAACCCCTTATTTCAGGACAAAATAAGTACTCCAGAGTCACGTACTTATTTTGACTTCTTAAAGGCTATGGACTTATTTGCAGGAATTAGTTAACCAAGTCTTAAATTTAGGGAGAGTTTGATGTTTAACCAGGTCCTAAACATTAGTCGTGCCAGAATTTATGAATTAGGGAGAGTTTGATGTTTAACCAGGTCGTAAACATTTATGGTCGTGCCAGAATTTTCAAAATTATAATATAATGACCTTTCCGCATGTTGGAGTTCCAACATAATATGTTGGAAGTTCATATATAGATGCACAGATCTCCAGTATATATTATGCTGAAACTTTCCATATTGCAGCAAAATAATTTAGAATAAGTAGTGGCTAATTTCTAGTTTAGAATTTCAGGACAAAATAAGTACTGGCTAATTTCGAATATATCTGAGAATGGTTATATGTGCAACCCCTTATTTCAGGACATAATAAGTACTCCAGAGTCATGTACTTATTTTGACTTCTTAAAGGCCCCTATAACATGGACTTATTTGCAGGAATTAGTTAACCAAGTCTTAAATTTAAATGTAATATTGTATTTTCCATCACAACAGATATTTTTTAAGCAAATTATGAATTATGGAGAGTTTGATGTTTAACCAGGTCCTAAACATTTATATGCAGTCGTGCCAGAATTTTCAACACTTAAAATTCAAAATTATGACCTAAACCAATTTTTGAACCCATAAAAGTGAAGCACCATAGTGGCTTGTTTTATCAACCTTCAATGACTCGTTAAACCTTCACATTCTAAGGTTTAATTTCACGGATGATCATATTACTGTCAATTTATGGGATTAAAGCCATAATATTTATATTTATTATTATTAGAAAGAAAAAAATTACTCAAGCATGTCTATATATTACAAACTAAAATAATGCCGAAAAAAATACTCTATTAAGCCCCAAAAAAATATAAGTAGGCATTATCATGTAAGTACAATCTCGTAAACAACTCACCTCACATATTATTTGCATGACAAACTCATTTTGTCAACCCAACTTAATATGTCTCCCATTTTAGGCAATTTTATCGTGAAAATAGTACGGGCTAGTCAGTTTCCAGACTGGTCATTGTAAAATAGCCACTATTTTGCTGCAACACGGAAAGTTCCAGCATAATATACTGGAGATTGGTGCACCTGTGTATGAACTTCCAGCATATGATGCTAGAACTCTAGCACACAGAAAGTTCCAGCATAATATACTGGAGATTGGTGCACCTGTGTATGAACTTCCAGCATATGATGCTAGAACTCTAGCACACAGAAAGTTCCAGCATAATATACTGGAGATTGATACACTTGTGTATGAACTTCCAGCATATGATGCTGGAATTCTAGCACACGGAAAGTTCCAGCATAATATACTGGAGATTGGAGCACCTGTGTATGAAAATATGCTGGAACTCCAGTATGATAGAGTTCACATGTAAAAATTTCGAACTCCAATATATTATGCTGGAATATTTTTCTGATTTTGAACAGTATTTTCGTTCAGATTTATCTTTGCATGAAAAATTGCTAAAATTCGATTACTCTTAAAACTTTAGCTATTTTTCAATTATCACTTATAAATTCGGCTATTTTTGAATTTCACCCCATTTTATCCGACCAAAACTTCAAGGCTTTTATCAGACCAGAACTTCACATTTTTAATAACTACTTTAGTGCTCCCTCTGTTCCAGTTTATGTGAACTTATTTCCTTTTTGGTCTGTTCCATAAAGAATGAACCCTTTCTAAATTTGGTAACAATTTAGCTTAAAGTTACAACTCTACCCTTAATGAGAAGCTTTTATAACCACACAAATACTCTGGACCCCATTTTGACATGTTTAGTCTACCCTTGATGAGAAACAAATTCCAAAAGTCTTCATTTTTTTCTTAAACTCCGTACCCAGTCAAACAGGTTCAAATAAATTGGAACATTGGGAGTATTCTTTTAGATATTCAATTTTTGAACTAATATCCTTACTTTGTGTCCAATCAATGTTACCTTTAACGAGGGCTTTTAAAATGGTTTAGCGCCTACTACTGCCTGGGATTCCAAAGTTAAAAGAAGTGAACTGACGAGCTACCTAAAGAAAGAAATGTAAGAGACTAACCATAGGACCTATCTTTGGGCCCTACATTTGTGGAACCCAATGGTTACTTTATTTAACCCACATAGCTATTAGCCACACTTAGTGGACCCACACGGCATTGAGTTACGCGCGAATTCCTTTTGATGACAGAGCACATAAAACTTTCTTATTTACTCCTATTATTTTAATTTAGATAATATATTTCGTTATCAATAGTGTTTAATTTAACTAAATTTTAAAGTTAAATTGAATTAGTACACCTAAATATTTTAAAATTAAAATTTAGATATTCAAATATTATATAAAAAGTATTATAAATTGTAATTTTTCTCGTATCAATATAATAGTATTTTAAAATATTGGTCAAACTTCACATAATTTAACTCTCCATAAGCGAAATATAAGTATCTAAATTGAAATGGAGGGTTTTTTTTTTGTTTTTGAAACGGAGGGTATATGTTTTAATAATTGGTACTAGTAGAATGCTTTATAAATTTAATCGGTACATATTGGTAGTAGCACACCTGAATTTAATGGGTACATATAAATTTTATACCAAATCCATTTAATGCTTCAAGCCTACAACCAATAACCTCGGCTTAGTAGTAATAACTTTTGTTGTCGTCGTGGTTATTAATGTCAGTCATTATTTTCTACAGGTCAATAATTTCCGAAATACTTATAATCTCACGTGCTGTCTCTATAATTTGACACTTTGATTTTATGAAAAAGGGTCAAATATAGTCATGTACTATCAGAAAAGATTTAAATGTATTCATTGTTATACTTTGAGTCTATATATATCTCTATTGTTATACTATTACTCCAAATATACCTATTTCACATTAAATTTATTCAAAGTGGACATTCAATCCTACGTGGCACTGACATTTGATGAGGTGGATGCCCAAAGTTGGGCCGATTTTAGGCCAAATTGATCAATGAGTAATTTTGCTAAAATGTATTTAAAATATTTTTTTGTTCGATATCATATATATGACCATAACAAAAGAAAAAAGTCTTATTTGATAATTAGATAATTTATAAGAAAATAATACAATTTATAAGAGTTGGACGGGTTGAGCTATGATCCAAATTTTAGCCCAACTTGACTCGTGTCATCTCAGCCCAAGTTACTAACCCGTCCATTAATTGACTCAGCCTATTTTGACCCGTCCAAAATCAGTCCAACCCGCCAATTTAACAAAATTACCCGTCTATTTAATGACTCATCCTATTTTGACCCACCTAAAATCTGTCCAACCATGCCCATTTGATACTCCTAATTTTGCATTATCAGCTATTATAAACAGAAAAGGGCAAAATATACCTTTGTACTATGAGAAAATATTTAAATATACCCTTCGTTATATTGTGGGTCCAAATATACATCTGTCGTAATATTATTGGTTCAAATATATCTCTCTTCTGTTAAGTTTGTCCAATGTGGACATCAAATCCTACGAGGCAATGACATTTGATGAGGTGGATGCCACATAGTTTGCCACCTCAGCACCCCTTAACCCATTTTACCCCCCCCCCCCC